TATAGTTAGGATAGCCTTATGCCTATCCCACGCATGCTTAAACTCCTTTACTGTGTTAACCTCTACCACTTCAGCTGTAAGGCTATTCCATGCATCCACTACCCTCTCAGTAAAGTAATACTTCCTGATATTATTTTTAAACATTTGTCCCTCTAATTTAAGACTATGTCCTCTTGTTGTGGTAGTTTTTCTTCTTTTAAATATAGTCTCCTCCTTTACTGTGTTGATTCCCTTTATATATTTAAATGTTTCTATCATATCCCCCCTGTCTCGTCTTTCCTCCAAGCTATACATGTTAAGATCCTTTAAACTTTCCTGGTAAGTTTTATCCCGCAATCCATGAACCAGTTTAGTAGCCCTTCTCTGAACCCTCTCTAAGGTATCAATATCCTTCTGAAGATACGGTCTCCAGTACTGTGTACAATACTTCAAGTGAGGTCTCACCAGTGTTCTGTACAATGGCATGAGCACTTCCCTCTTTCTAATGCTAATACCTCTCACTATACAACCAAGCATTGTGCTAGCATTTCCTGCTGCTCTATTACATTGTCTGCCTACCTTTAAGTCATCAGAAATAATCACCCCTAAATCCCTTTCCTGATATGTTGAAGTTAGGACTCTATCAAATATTCTGTACTCTGTCTAATGACATGCATACAGACATACATACATACATTCATACTGGCATACATACATAATGACATGCAGACATACATACACTGACATTCATACACACATAATGATATGCATACAGACAGACATCCATGCATACAGACGTACATACATACACACAGACATAGACATACATACAGACATACATACATACCGACATACATACACATACACACACACACACAGCTCATTTTCCAGCCACCCTCATGTCTCTTATCTTGTCTTTGCAGGAGGGTGGCTGGGGCTGATGGGACTGGGAGTTGGCTGCCTCTCCCTCTTCATTGCCGGGCGCGCGCTCCTCCCGCGCGCAGTGAGCTGTGAGGAAGTGACCACTTCCTCCCAGCAGCACTTGCATTGCTGCTGCATTTTATATATTTTTTTAAAGGGGCCCGGTTACGCTATACCACGGCCACAGCGCTGACCGGGCCCCTGAAGATATGGTCCCCATCAGCGTGCGGGCACTGGTGGAACTGCATCTGCGGCAGTTCCGCCGCTACACGTGGGTGACCGGGCCTCCCAGGGCCACCGGGCCCGTGACAACCGTTATGGTTGTCACCCCCTGATGGCGTCCCTGGCAATAATCCAAAATAGCAGTCATAGGACCCATGCATTGTTAACTCATTTATTTTTGTCAAACACCTTCTTCAAGTCTTGATAGACCTTGGGTACATCTGTGGATAATGGGGGCAAGACTGGCACATTTATGAGACCCATGGGTCTGACCTTAGTGGTACATCCTTCTGTACAAGAAGGACCCCATTTAACAACCTCTCCTTTCTCCCAATCTATCTGTGGATTATGTTTATATAACCATGGATACCCCAACACTATAGGAAAGGATGAGGAGGAAATAGTTTGCAAAACAACAACCTCCTTATGAAGGACCCCAACCATCAGAAGGATTCCTTAGTAAGGGGTCTACCATCTATGGCCTCTACTGCCAAGGGTGCCTTCTCTCCTTCTATGTTGGTGCTCTGCCTCAGACAATCTTGTCATACCCAATTGCATGGGTTCTGGGGTAGAGACCACCATCGACTCTGAGGAGAAAGTTGGAGCAAGTCTGATAGCTGGGTCTGGGTCTTTCTCTGGGTTTTTTTGCCTGTGCCTACGCCTCTCATCTGCCCAAGATAAGTGATGAACTCCTCTAACGTCTCAGGTAGATCCCCGGTGGCTACCTCGTATAATAAGGTATTAGTTAAACCATTAAGGAACACATCCATGAATGCCCGGTTGTTCCAACGTATTTATGATGCCTGTGAACACAAGCCCAAAGCATAATCCATGAGGGAATGGTTTCCCTATCTTAGTTCAATAGAGCCCTAGCCATGGGCGTAGGAACCGGGGGGGGGGGGATCCCCCCCAGGAAATAATGAGGGGGGGACAGGAATGGTGAAATCCCCCCCCAGGTTAGGACTAGGAGGAGTGCACTAGGAGTGCTGATTACGCTGTAACATTTAGGTGCATTCGGACTCGGCTTCTGAATGCACCAGTCAATGTAGCTGTTAGCTACACAAACAGCGTAATCGGCACACCGGGGTCTCCTTCCTGTTTCAAAGTGGCACAGGCGGAATGTGCTGCAGACTGCAGAAGGAGGACGCACATTTCTCAGGCTGGACTGGAATAGTGGCAGCCTGTCAGGGAGGAACCTTCTTAAAGCAAAGCTGCTGGCTGGTATGTGCACTGCTGGGACAACCCAGACACAGCCTGGGTAAGTAATGTTGATAATGCTGTGTTCAGTGGCGTACACATGACCCATGGGCCACGGTGCGAAAATTGATCCGTGGGACCCCCGCGCGCGGGCCGGGGCCGCAACACATGGTGGCGGGCACATGGTCGCAGGGGTTGCAGGGCTGTGACCCCTGCAACTGCGGCATGTACGCCAGTGCAGGCGCCTGCACACACTTAAAGGACCACTACAGACACCCAGATCACATCAGCTCAATTAAGTGGTCTGGGTGCCAGGTCCCTCTAGTTTTAACCCTGCAGCTGAAAACATAGCAGTTTCAGAGAAACTGCTATGTTTCTCTGAAGGTTAATTCAGCTTCCGCGATTCTAACTGTGAAAATCACGGTGAGAAGACACTGAACGTCCATAGGAAAGCATTGAGTAATGCTTTCCTATGGGTGGTTTGAATGTGCTCTTGCCGTGCATGCGCATTCGGCGCTGAGAGGCGGAGGTATCCCCAGCGCCAAGGTAAGTGCTGAAGACACACACACACACACTGTCACGAACAGACACATACACACTAGCTAACAGACACACACATTTACTGACAGAGACACACTCAGCGACAGACCTACATACACACTCACAAAACATACACTCTCACTGACAAACACACACAAACACACTCACTAGCAGACACACTCTAACACACACACACACACACACACACTCTAACACTAACACATACACTAACACACACACACTAACACTCACTAACACACTAACACTAACACTCACTAACACTAACACTCACTAACACACACTCACTAACACACACACACTAACACAAACACATGTTTTTTTGTTTTTTTTTTAAATGCAATCCCCCCATCCTCCTTACCTTTTGGAGTGCTGGAGGGATTCCCTGGGGTCCAGTGCTGCTGCTGGGCTCCTGGGCGGCTGGGCACCGGGCGGCCAGTCCTGCGGGCGCGCGAGGGAGCACTCTCCCCTGTGTGCTCCCTCTTCAGCTCCCTCGTGCTGCCGCGTACTGATGCCGGAGCCAGAAGATGACGTCATTCTCCTATTGGTCGGCATGGACTTCCATTCAAACTAGGTTCGCGCCATTCCCCTGATAGGTCGGCACGAGGTGAGTGCTGATTTGTCGCTGCGTGGTGCAGCATCCAATAGTAGAAGGAGCACCCATTCAAACTGGGTTTTGCGCCCTTGATCATGATTGGATGGCGAAACCCCTCTCCTCCCTGAGCCCCAATTAGTGCAAACGAGTTTTGCACCTTTTCTCCAGATTGGGTGGCGAAATCTATCTCCTCGCTGAGCGCCGATTGCCACAAATTGGTTTTGTGCCTCTCTATGATTGGTCATTGCTTGATTTGGGTGCAAAGTTTGAATCGACCGGTCTAAACCAAGCAATCCCATGGAGCTAATTTCAGGTATGTACAGATCCTTGAGCACAGACTTTGTACGATGGTTTCTCGGGCTCTGTACATCCGATAGCCCCGCTATTTGCAGGTATCCTAGGTGGGACCCATGATATATGTTTTACATGTGCGACCCTTTCCCTTCCTGGGTCCCCTAAGTCCGTCCCCCCCCCGTATGTAATATGTTTAATGTATGTAACTGTTGGTATCCCTCTCCCCCTCCCTCCCCTGCCCAGATTCCCTCTCCCCCTCCCTCCCCTGCCCAGATTCCCTCTCCACCTCCCTCCCCTGTACAGATTCCCTCTCCACCTAACTCCCCTGCATAGATTCTCTCTCCCCAGGTCTCCCTGCACCCTGACAATTGCCTTCCCTGCCTGTTGTGGTTTAAATTCAGCAGACAGCAATGTTTTCTCTCAGGTATGAAGACAAGGAATGGACACAGCAGAAATACAAGCTTGGAGGACAGTACTTGTTCATAAGTGAATGACAAAATACTGTTCCTAATTTTAATGGGGAAAACACAGATCTTATAACAAAATTCTATACACATCCAAAAAGGGGTTGTCTTCACATAATACAGTCATGTCCTGTCAATTGCATATTCAAAGAACTTAAAGCACATTTGGCATTAGCTGGTCAAAAGGTATTGCTTGATTAAACAAACACTTCCCAACAAGGTGTTCACAGGATATGCAGTGCAGGGGGCTAAGCAAGAAGAAGATACAAATCAGGATCAAAGGCCAGCTGTTATAATAGAGCATCCTGACATTACTCAATCAACTGTGTAGTGTGACACAGGATATAAGGGGAAAGGTGCTCATTAATCCATATCATTCCAATCTTTTATTCTGAAAGAATAATAAATCAGAAAATTAATTATTTGTCTATTATAGCACTCAGGGAAGAAAAAAAACTTCAGAACTTCAGTTATTTCTGAAGAAAATCTCTGGGGAGCCATGGCTATAATAAGACCGTCCCTCCCTCCTGGACGAATTAAGGTTTAATAAACAATTAGTAAAATTTTAGTGCTTGGTACAAATTCTTTGCAGATCCAATAAAATGATTGTCTGTTTCCCATGATGAAGAAGATAAAGCCTTCTTAGAGTGAAATATATTAATAACCTCTTTTACTTAACCTCTTTTACTATCACTGTTGGGGACCAAATAATATTTATGAGCGCATAACCAAGTCCCATGGAAAGAAGAATAATTAGGGTGCACCAGGAACTATTGTTCATTCTGGACCAGAGTCTGAGGTTGAACGTTCTTTGCTTGGAATATCCAGAGTTCTTTGCTTGGAATATCCAGAGTGCTTGATGTGGGACATCTTTTTAATCTGCTTGCATGAATCCATGTCTGGTTCTCCTCGGTCAGAACGGCTGTTCGGGTGAGGGCAACAACTGTTGTCGGAGGGCCGTATGGCGGATCAAAGGTTCCGGATTTGAAGAGGGACTTCACCGAGACTTGGTCTCCAGGCCTGAAAGGATGTGTGGTTGTACCTGAAGGATGAGGAAGAGATGGAGACACATCACCATAGATGCCATTCAATTTGTCTACAAGGTTCAATACATAGTCATCTAACACAACATTTAGGTCTCTGCTCACCATCGGAGCACCTTTGGACTTACACCATGGAGTTGGAAAAGGTCTCCCCATTAAAATTTCAAAGGGTGAATAACCCGTAGTGGAACTAGGGGTCATTCTGATCTCAGCTAAAACTGCTGGCAAATTGTCTGGCCAATTGCGTGTGCTACCCGAGCCTCCTTTTGTCAATTTCTCCTTGATCGTTCTATTCATCCTTTCCATTTGCCCTGATGACTGAGGGTGATAGGGTATATGAAATTTCCAATCTATACTCAACATTTTACAAACCTGCTGTGTAACTGCTGAAGTGAAAGGAGTTCCTATATCACTATTAATCATAACTGGGCAGCCAAAACGTGGTATAATTTCTTTACACAATATTTTGCTTACCGTGCGGGCATTTTCGCGTACACATGCATAGGCCTCCACCCATTTTGAGAATGTGTCTACTATGACAAGTAAATACTTGAGTCCACCTTTTGCCGTTGGCATATGCGTGAAGTCTATTTGTAAATTTAACATTGGTGGTCATGTTTACCAAACTGCGGCTTGGTAGTATTAACTCTTGCACATGTTAAGCACCTGGATAAAATATTGGTAACTGTCTGATCTAACCTGTTAATTACAAATCGTTCTTTTAGCATAGCCAATACCCCTCTTCGTCCGACATGTCCATAGCCATGGAACTGTCGAACGAGTAACACAAAAGAAGCTTGAGGGATTGCTATGCGACCTTTAGGATCCTTGAAGATACCAGAAGTTGCATCAGGTGTAACAGAATGTATATTCCAGTAAGCTAAGTCATCCGAAGATGATGCAGCCTGCTTAGAAAGAATATCAATGTAATCAGTATGAGGGGCTATATGCACTGCAGTTAAGACCTGGTCACAAGAAACAGTACTGTAATCTGGCCATAAGGGAAAAGAGGCAGCTGCCCTTTTCGCCACCAAATCTGCAAAATCATTACCCTCCCTGACCATGGAGTGATCTGTATCATGGCCCTTGCACTTCACAATAGCTTAAGATCTAGGTAACAGTATGGCCCTCAATAATCTATCAATTAATGCAAAATGAGAAACAGTTCGACCATCAGCTGCAACAAAACCTCAAGCCTGCCATATGACACCAAAATCATAAACCACTCCAAAGGCATATCTCGAATCAGTATAAATAGTCACATCTTGATCTTGAAAAGCAATACAAGCTTGTGTAAGAGCAATCAACTCCGCTGCCTGCGCTGAGACAAAAGGTAAAGAACCTGCAGCTATTACACTATTAGGTATTTGTACAACTGCAAAACCACAAAGGAAAACACCATCGGATGGTTTTGAACAAGACCCATCAACAAAACAAATTTCACCATTACCCAATGGAACCGATAACAAATCTGCTCGAGATGAGGTGTTGGATTGTATAAGATCTAAACAATCATGTTTTGTTTCTACTAAAGGGCAGTGTTTGAGAAGGGAGTGCAATAGGGCAGCTGGACCAGTACCCGTAGGAGTATATTTCAGAGACAAACCTATGGTAGAAGTTAATATAGTTTCATAACCTGAACGTCTTTGTGCTGTCATGTGTTGCGTAGTGAGATTATTAAGGACCTGTATAGCCTGATGTGAAGTGTGCAGTACAAGAGAATGAGACAATACCAGAGGCTGTACAGTTTCAACCATCATAGCGCAAGATGCAATAGCTTGAAGACAAGCTGGCATACCCCTCACTACCGTGGGTAAGAGTTTGGAATAAAAGGCTACTGGCCTGTACCCGTTACCATGCTCCTGTGCCAACACTCCTGCCACTGTGACCCCATCCTCAACACAATACAGATGAAAAGGCAAAGCATAGTTTGGTAAACCTAAAGTTAGTGCTGTACATAGGGAAGTTTGGAGAGTCTTAAATGCAACCAACAGTTCATCAATCCAATGTATCTGCAAGGGCTGATCATCCTTGGTACATTGATGCAAAATGTGGTCATAATGGGAACAATCAGGAATCCACTGACGCCAAAAATTAATCATGCCGAGAAATGAAAGCATTGCTGGTTTGGTTGCCGGTAGAGGGAGTTGCATAATAACTTTAACATGTCCTGCTGACACTGTACGAGACCCTTTTGAAAGGATGAAGCCCAAATACATGACTGAAGGAAGACAAAATTGAAGTTTGGTCAATGACACTTTATGACCCACTTCAGCTAGGTGTAGCAATAATTGTACAGAGTCTGCTATGCAGCTGGTCTTATCTGGACTACAAAGCAATAAATCATCGACATACTGTACGAGGACTGAGCCACAGGTGGGAAAAAAGGACAACAGCAGAGTATGCAGTAGGAGAGTCTGAATAACCCTGAGGCAGTCTATTCCAAGTATACTGTGTACCCCTAAAAGTAAAGGCAAACAAAGGTTTGGTACTGGCATCAATAGGTATACTAAAAAATGCACTACATAAATCGATTACTGAAAAATATTCTGTAGTAGCAGGGATAGTAGTTAAAATTGCATTAACATCTGGCACTAACGGTGCTAATGGCTGTACTAACTCATTGACCGCTCGCAAGTCTTGTGTAAACCTGTACTCAGATCGGCCGGGCTTAGGGATTGGATTGATTGGCGTGTTATAGGGAGATACTGTAGGCTCAATAATTTTCTTAGTATAATTAAATTCTAATAGTCAATAAATTGGCTGTTAGAAAATAGATAAGAGGGAACAAGACAAACCATTAGTTAAAAAAGCTCTTAAACTGGAAAGACAGGATCTCATCAAATCCTATACATATATACAAACAAATAGATGAAAAAGTGTCCAGGAGCTTATACTAATACTGACATCCATCCATATATTATTCAAACAATCGCGAAAATTGGATGACTTAATAGTAATATTATTCAAGGAGTCCAAATAGTGACTTGTGCACCAAATTAGTCCGAAACAGAAAGAGAATACAATGTATCATAAAAACCTCTAACTTGTAAAGATATCCTTTGCAAGATTAAACGAGGTTGATATGAATTTGATTTACATTCATATGAGAAGGTCTTAGTATACGAAAAAAGTAGAAAACGGAAAAAAATCAACAATAAAAATAATAATGAGATCGGGCTTGTTAGTATAGCAGACTAACACCCTAATTAATAGTCCAGAGCAGAAAACTGGGATGGCTGCCAGAAAATATAACTGTGACAGCTAAGAAATGTATCCTGAGTTGTTGCGTTTTAGTATCCAATTGGTATTGTAAAAAATGTGTCCATTTGTGTCAAAAACGTAATTGTAGAAGTAAATTTTATTTGCATCAAAATCAATAACACCAAATAATTTTAAAAAAACATTAAAAATATTAGGTCAGAAATGTTCCACAAGGGTATATCTGCATGAGAAAAAATAGAGAACTGGTATAACCTGAATGATTCTTCTGGATGGCTAAGGATTGTAGTATTCACCTTCCGAATCCAATATGCAGAGCCGGTGAGGGCGGCGTCCGCGTCCTCGGAGCTGTCTCTCTGACCTCACATCAAGAGGTAAGCCTCCAGGATGACGTTGTATTCCAAACAGAAGACGTCAGTGGTTACCAGGAATCTCTTCTCTCTAACCCGTCTGTGGATTCAATAATCTGCAGCCTTACGCGTTTCGTAGGGTACTGCCCTACTTCATCAGAGGCATATCACAAACTGAGTCAATATTGGTGTATATATACACACATTACTATCGCCAATTGATTTCATCTTTAAAAAAACACCATTGATTTAAATGCATATTTCAACAAAAAACTTCATCAATATATAGACACAAAGGAATTGGTACACATGTGCAATATTAATAAAAAACCGCAAATGCAAACATATTATATCAGAAATAAATCATAGATGAATCAGGAATAAATAGACAGACCATTTTTCACAATAATACAAAAACCCAAAATATATCAAAAACGGTCCATTTTTGACAATAATATAAATACGAATCTCCCAGATATCAAATAAAATAGTATATACATTAGACATATTTTTGTATTTTCAATCTTTGTTATGTCAAAAGAGGAGGAATCTTGAACTTTAGAGTTAAAGTTATAGCTACATCTTTAGAATCAAGAATCAAAATACAATGCTGCATACTATATAAGAATGCTGCATCCTATATAAGAAACCCAGAAAATCAGCAGGAGGAAAATAAAATATAATAAAAATTCTCAAAAACTTTATTATAAAAAATAGGGGGAGAAATGCACTACATAAATCGATGACTGAAAAATATTCTGCAATAGCAGGGATAGTAGCATGGGCGTCCGCAGGAATTTTTCCAGGGGGGGGGCATAATTGCAATGACATCCATGCTTGGTACCTTTTTGACAGTGTCATGAAAGGGAAGGGGCATAGCCATTATCACATAAAGCCAGGGTGAATAGCGTTTTCACAACTATGGTGTCAGGAATATATGTTTGTATTCCTGACACTATAGTGTTCCTTTAAGCAAATTAAAGGACCATTCTGGTCACCATAACAACTTCACCTAAATGAAAATGCTATGATGCCAGGAAGCCCCTGGGTGCTCGCTTTCCTTTAAGGGGTTAAATCGCTCTCAAATGGTTTAACCCCAAAGGCTTCCTCCAGCTCCAGGTCGCTCAGTGGTATTTGGCTTCTGAAACAGAGTGTCAGGAAGTACAGACTGACGTCAGGCATGGGTGCCGCTGATTGGCTAGAGTGGACAGTTGACGCTCTAAGCCAATCGCTAGTTCCCGGTTCATAAAATATTTTACTTTTTTATGAATGGGGAGCTACTGATTGGCTTAGAGTGCCAGCTGACCGCTCTAGCCAATCAGCAACACCCCTACCCAACGGCACTCTGTGCTTCCTGACACTCAGTAAATAAAAGTGAACACATTAACACTGATATTTTTTTACCTTTGGAGATGAGAAGGTCCAGTGTTTCCCTGCCTGGCCCAGGTACCAAAGCCTTATGATGTGGTGTCCAGAATAAAGTGGAGGGTTCACTTCATTTGTCCTTCCTGCTCCAATCTCCTTTTCCTCTCCTTCATTTGACAGTCTTTTTTTTTTCTTCTGACACTGTTTTCTATCCTTGGCCCCTTCTGCTCTTTTACCTTTCTGCTACTTTCTGCTTATTTTGTGCCTTTCTGCTCCTTTCTCATTCTGATCCCTTTCTGCTCCTTGCAGACCCTTTGTGCTCCTTGCATTCCCTTTCTGCTCCCTTTTCTACTTTACCTTTGTGCTCCTTGCGGTCCCTTTCTGCTCTTTCTCATACTTGCCCCCCCCTGCGGACGCCCATGGATAGTAGTTAAAGTTGCATTAACATTTGGCACTAACGGTGCTAATGGCTGTACTAACTCACTGACAGCTCGCAAGTCTTGTGTAAACCTGTACTCAGATCGGCCGGGCTTAGGGATTGGATTGATTGGCGTGTTATAGGGAGATACTGTAAGCTCAATAATTTTCTTAGCTAGTAGCTCTGTAATGACTGGTGCAATCCCTAACTCCTTTTCTTTAGATAAAGGGTACTGTTTAATGTATACAGGACTAGAATTTGGTTTCAATGTGGCCTGATACGGTGTACAATTTAGCAAACCTGGATCAGTGCTGCTCTGGGCCCATACATGGGATGGGAGATGTTTGAGGGATTCAGGAATATCCAAGGTGTTAAAAAAATTAAGTATTTGAATTCCATTAGAAGTTAAATGTGGGGTGAAAGGTCCAAATTTAAAGGAATCAGTATACCCTGAACCTTGCTTCCACAGAAAAATACTGTGTTTAGTGTGTATACAAATGCTATCTTGTGAAAGAGACATGCCAGTTACAAGTGAAGTATCACCCCAATCATGAACAACGGGCATGGCTGAGTGTGATGAGTGTGTCCGTGAAGATGGTTTGCAGCTATACAAAAAGGCTTTGTCCAAAACATCCATAGTGTGTAAAGAAAAAGTGAGACATCTAGTGTTCATGTCTGGTAATGCAATGAATGCATTGTTGCCAGTAGTAAAAGGGTTAAAATTACCAGACAAATGACCAAGGCTTGATACAGAAACAAAGGCAGTATTCACCAAAATCCCACCTTTGTGACTGATTTCAATGATCATACCCATCTTAGCCATTAAATATCTGCCTAATAAATTTACTGGACAATTTGGAATAACCAGAAAAGAATAATGCAACAAAAAGGAAGGACTGTAGGGGCTTGTAATAGACAGTCGTGGAGTTTTGGTACAGGAAATGGGGACTCCTCCCATGCCAACAGACACTACACTTTTACCAGTAAGAGGTCCCTGATAATTATTTCCTTAAAAGCTAGAGCATGTAGCTCCACTATCCACAAGAAACTCATAGGATGTGCCATCCACAATCAAATTGATCATAGGAAGCTGGTCCCAATTATCAGAGAGTTGAACTGTTAGACAAGTGAGAGTCCCCGTCTGTTGGCTGTCCTATTGCTGTCCCCTTTGATTCCACTGAATAGGCACATTTTTTATCAAAGGGGGAAGGTGGAGAGCATGGATAAGAGGGCATATTCATATTGGGAAAAGCACCCTTTGTATCAGCACAGACCGGAAACAAACCAGCAGAATCTTTATCACGCAAAGTTCTCATCAAGTCTTCTGGCTTACATTCAGACACATTATCAACTACAATCCTAGTTGTTTGTGCATATTCCGGACACAAACAAATTACCCCTAAACCATCCATCGTCATGCAGCAATTTTCTACCCAACATTTCTTAAATCGACTAACAAACTCAGTAACCGTCTCCCCTGAAAGTTGCTTTAAAGCCGCTGCCTTGGTAATATCACGCTGTGAAACCTGCTTACTTTGGAAATAAACCAATAACTGCTTCCAAAACTCTGACACAAAATCTTGCTCAGCCCAAAAATACACAGAACCTACATCAGTACCAGGTCTATCATATTTGGTGTCCAAATTAAGAGCCATTTCTGTTGGTGGGATATCAGCATATTTAAAAACCACCTGTCTGGCAACAAATTTCTAGCTTTTGTCAGTAATTCATCTCTAGATATAGCACGGAGCACGGGTCAGCATTCTTAGATTGTTCTGTTCCAGTGTCACAGGTAGAACAGACTTACTTTTATCAACATTCTTATTCTCTGCACCAACATCCACAGACTTTTTAGTTACTTTTTCATCTTTCTTACCAACATCAACACTTTCTGCAGTGGATCTCACCATTGCAGAAGGATTCACAACCATCTGTCCAACATGCCTTTTCCCTCTACCAATCGTCATTAAAATTTCATCAGTATCATCATCAGAAAAATCATTTTTTAATTCATCCAAACTGGGATATAATGGTACAACAGAAGGCATATAAGCAGGAGGTGCTGCAGAGGCCTGAACATACTTTGTAGTCTGATCAGGAACAAACCATAACTGAGCACACTTTAACCATCCTGTAGCTGCATTATGCATATACTTTTTATCCCATTTTGGATCTCCACCTGGACCCCACTTTTTAAAACCTTTAATACACATACCTTTCAGCATTTGCAAATGAAAATCACTAAAAGAACCCTCTCTTAGCCATGGATTACAAATCATTGTATCAAAATTCTCTGACCATACAACTAAATTTGTACAAAATGGTTCAGCATAGTAATCTCCAATCGTTTCTTGAACAAACTGGCATGGAGTTTGCCCTAATCGAGGACCCTGAGATTTGACTTGGGGAGTACGTGACGCAGCACTATTAGGGACATCTTTAGATGATTTATATTTTACAGAATTTTGTTGGGAATTTTTACCATTACTGGAGCCCATTTCCAACTTCACACAGATAACACTTTATATATAAGCAATGCACACTTTTTAAACAATACAACTATACATGCAGCGCTGCAATAAACAAAAATAAGATTTATTCTACTGTGTCCAAACCGTGCATTCAATATAGTGACTGAATGTGGTCACTCAGTGGGACTGCTATACCCACTATATACAACTTACCGACAAGATGGGACTCTAACCCAGAAAATATCAATTTTTCTCTTATACAACTTAAGATGGGACTCTAACACAAACTTAACATGGGACTCTAACCCAAACTTAACATGGGACTCTAACCCAAACTTAACATGGGACTCTAACCCATACTTAACGTGGGACTCTAACCCAAACTTAACATGGGACTCTAACCCAAACTTAACATGGTACTCTAACCCAAACTTAACATGGGACTCTAACCCAAACTTAATATGGGACTCTAACCCAAACTTAACATGGGACTCTAACCCATACTTAACGTGGGACTCTAACCAAACTTAACGTGGGACTCTAACCCAAACTTAACGTGGGACTCTAACCCATACTTAACGTGGGACTCTAACCCAAACTTAACGTGGGACTCTAACCCAAACTTAACATGGGACTCTAACCCAAACTTAACATGGGACTCTAACCCAAACTTAACGTGGGACTCTAGCCCAAACTTAACGTGGGACTCTAACCCATACTTAACGTGGGACTCTAACCCAAACTTAACATGGGACTCTAACCCAAACTTAACATGGGACTCTAACCCAAACTTAACATGGTACTCTAACCCAAACTTAACATGGGACTCTAACCCAAACTTAATATGGGACACTAACCCAAACTTAACATGGGACTCTAACCCAAACTTAACATGGGACTCTAACCCATGACATACTTAACAACTTAACATGGGACTCAAACCCATAACATAATAAAGTATGCTGTAATAAAATATAATATTATGTAAAATATTATAATGCACAGCTCCCTGGGGACTCAAACCCTTTTAACTTCTGAGAGTACAACAAAAAAAAAAAGAAAGGCAAAACAAAAAACAAAAAACATTACTTTTCTGCAACCACAAAAAAATTGTTCAGAGAATCCAAACAGGTCAAAGAACACAAAAATAAAACACAAAACGTTTTTACCCGATTTGGATCCTCTCCACTTCTGACACCATATTGTTGTGGTTTAAATTCAGCAGACAGCAATGTTTTCTCTCAGGTATGAAGACAAGGAATTGACACAGCAGAAATACAAGCTTGGAGGACAGTACTCGTTCATAAGTGAATGACAAAATACTGTTCCTAATTTTAATGGGGAAAACACAGATCTTATAACAAAATTCTATACATATCCAAAAGGGGTGGTCTTCACATAATACAGTCATGCCCTGTCAATTGCATATTCAAAGAACTTAACCCCTTAAGGACCGAGGACGGTTCAGGACCGTCATCGGCATTTTCCCATTGCCGACCGATGACGGTCCTGAACCGTCCTAACGGTCAGAGGTACTTACCTGATCGCCGTCGTTCCCCCGGCGGCGATCAGCGTTGCTCCCGTTGTGGGGAGACTGCCTGCAGCCCAGACAGTCTCCCCACACTGGATTAGCACCCCTGTGGCCATGTGATCGCTCAACACAGCAATCACATGGTCACAATAGGTGTCCATGTGTCTGCCTGCAGGGGGACTGCCTGTGCTGACAGGCAGTCTCCCTGCATGTGTAAAATAAAAAAAAAATAAAGTTAATGTTAATTAAAAATAAAAATATATATATATGTGTCATACTAAGTGTATTTTTATATTAATATGTACTTATATTAATATAAAAATACACTTATATTTAAATTACACACATATATATAATATATATAATAACTATATATATTGTATATATATATTATTATAAAATATAAATAATAAGTAATTTAAATTAAATTAATTTTTTTTAAATAATAAAAATTGAAAAAATATATATCTATATGAAATTTTATTCTAACTGTATTTTAAAATTAATATATATATATTTATATCAAAATACACTTAGAATGAATTTGTATATATATCTATGTATATATAAATAAATAAAAATAATACAAAATATACATATGTCCATATACAAAATTACATAAATAATTATATAAATATACACGTAGACTTCAAATATATAAATATGCATATATATTTAAATTCTACGTGCGTATTTATGTAATATTTTACATAATTAAGTAATTTTATTGATTGCAATTTGAGGGACCTGCCTGCCAACCCAGGCCAAAAGTCCAGAGAATTTAATTTGCTAGCACTGTATTTTACCCTGTAACGTTCTACGACACCCTAAAACCTGTACATGGGGGGTACTGTTTTACTCGGGAGACTTCGCTGAACACAAATATTAGTGATTCAAAACAGTAAAACATATCACAGCAATGATATTGTCAGTGAAAGTGACTTTTTGCGCATTTTTCACACACAAACAGCACTTTTACTGATGATATAATTGTTGTGATACGTTTTCCTGTTTTGAAACACTAATATTTGTGTCCAGCGATGTCTCCCGAGTAAAACAGTACCCCCCATGTACAGGTTTTATAGCATTTTTGAAAGTTACAGGGTCAAATATATGGGTCAAATATTTTTACATTGAAAATGGCCAGGTTGGTTACGTTGCCTTTGAGAGCCTATGGTAGCCCAGGAATGAGAATTACCCCCATGATGGCATACCATTTGCAAAAGAAGACAACCCAAGGTATTGCAAATGGGGTATGTCCAGTCTTTTTTAGTAACCACTTGGTCACAAACACTGGCCAAAATTAGCGTTCAATTTAGTTTTTTTACTTTTTTCACACACAAGCAAATATGAATGCTTACTTTGGCCAGTGTTTTCGACTAAGTGGCTACTAAAAAAGACTGGACATACCCCATATTGAATACCCTGGGTTGTCTACTTTAAAAAAAATATGTACATGTGGGGTGTTATTCAGAAATTTATGACAGATAATAGTGTTACAATGTCACTATTGATAAATTTTAAAAATGTATGTTTTGAAACCGCAATATCCTACTTGTACCTAAAGCCCTATAACATGCAAAAAAAAGCAAAAAAGCACGTAAACACTGGGTATTTTTAAACTCAGGACAAAATTTTGGATCTATATAGCAGTTTTTTTCATTCGCTTTTGTAGATGAGTAAAATATTTTTCAAGTAAAAGTCAAAAAACATGTATTATTTTAAATTTTTCATCATTTTTTATTTTTTTGCAAATTAAAATACATGAGATTATATAAATAATGGTATGTAAAGAAAGTCCCTTTAGTCCTGAAAAAAACAATATATAATTTGTATGGGAACAGTAAATGAGAGAGCGGAAAATTACAGCCAAACACAAACACCACAAAAGTGTAAAAATATGCCTGGTCGCAAATGTACAACATCGCAAAAACAGTCCAGTCCTTAAGGGGTTAAAGCACATTTGGCATTAGCTGGTCAAAAGGTGTTACTTGATTAAACAAACACTTCCCAACAAGGTGTTCACAGGATATGCAGTGCTAAGCAAGAAGAAGATACAAATCAGGATCAAAGGCCAGCTGTTATAATAGAGCATCCTGACATTACTCAATCAACCATGTAGTGTGACACAGGATATAAGGGGAAAGGTGCTCATTAATTACATGATTTTGCTATTACATGACGAAAAGTCATGATTTTATTAAAGACACGGAGGCGAGTATTGTATATCCCTTTCTTTACTGTCCACCAATAGCAGCAAAGAATACAAACAGAATGAAAAATAATGAACATACAGTAACATAGACCCCTCCCCGCTCAGGTCCCAGTATAATAGGCAGCACTTCCCTTCCATTTCCCTCTTTCTGAAGATGCGACCAAGGTAAACAATGTCCAAACCAGGAATTGTGAGAAAAAAGTCCCCAGGTAACAACTTATAACTGAAGAGGGTAGAACATCAACAACTGGGAAGCTTGACCATAGCATTCATAGGACCACCGGATAACAGCGGGGGAAGTCCTCCTAAGCCGGATGACTGCTTGCCTTCTTGTCGAGTTAAGCTGTGAAAACATAAAGGAACAGGAGCCGATGGGTTAAAGTCGATACTTGCAACTAGTTTCAAGGTTAAACGGGTGAGAAATAACCCACATATGCACAGTCCCACAAAAAGAGTGATTTACCATTACTTTACATAAACCTCATTCTCGCAGTATGGCCCCACTTACCGTACAAAAACCATTCGATGTGGTGTATTGTAGCGTGTATTAACCTGGGAGGGAAAAATTATTATAACCGTGTAAGAATAAGAAGGGTGGGACAATACTCGCCTCCGTGTCTTTAATAAAATCATGACTTTTCGTCATGTAATAGCAAAATCATGTAATTTTATAACAAGACATGGAGGCTCATATTGCAAGTGTAAAGCTGATCCATTACCGCAGCGAATGTATGTGGGGCCAGGCAAAAGTAAAACTCCTGGAACGTAGACTCCCTTGACCAGTCGGCCGTCCTCATAATGTCCTCCAGGTGCGCGCCTGCAGTCATCATCGAAGAGGCTGAGGCCCCCCGGACCGAATGGGCGCCAAAGACCGTGGTATCAATACCTGCCTGGGACAACAGCCATTTCACCCATCATGACAAGGTTGTGCTAGAAACCGGGTGGAAAGGGGGGCGAAATGATAAAAATAGCTGCCGAGAGGTGGTGGAGCGATGA